TCCGTTGTCTCTTTCTCGGGGGAGTCGGGCCTCTAGGGCGGGTTCGACGACGGCCCAGCCGCCTTCTCGGCTGCCCTCCATTCCCGAGTCGCTAGACGACTCCGGGCCTCCCACGGCCCTCCCCTCACCTCGGGGGGGCGAGGGCCTGAGTGCCTCGGACGGCGGTCCCGGGGGGGCGCCCTCCTCCACTCGCGTCTCCCCGTCTCCTTCCCTTCCTCCGACTCCTTTCGTGGGTCCTTCTTCGTCTCCTCCCCTTCCTCTTCCTCCCCCTCCTCCGTCTCTTCCTCCGACAGCGACGGGTCGGCGGCTGCGGCAACCGGAGGGCGTGCCAGCGTGCATCCGCGCGGCCAGGGCCGCTAGCTCACCGCCCGAGGTCAAGCGGGCACGGACGGAGACGCCGGGTGCCAGCGGACGCAGGGGGGCCGAGCCTCCCGAGGCTGCGCCTGCGGACCCGGGGGTCACCTCCTCCTCCTCTGGTGGTGTGGTCGATCCTCCTCCGGGCCTCTCCTCCTCCTCCTCTCCTCCAGGTGGTCCGGACGATCCTGGCCAGGCCAGGGGTCTCAGAGTCGGAGTAGAGCGATCGAGGTCCGTGGCAGACGCCGTTCGAGACCTTGAGACTCGAGGCCGCCCTCGGTCCAGGTCATCTTTCAGCCGCGGACCTGTCGAGAGTTTCTGGGTGGTCCCGGGGTCCGACGGTGGGGTCTGGGCTCCTCCGGTCCGTGCTGAGCGACTCGATGAGAGCTTTCAAGACGGAGGCGTTTTCGCGGCGAGCCGTGGCGGGGAGGTGTCCCATAAGAAGCTCAGCCCGGCTGAACGGGCCAAGTTTGCCATTTCGGATGACAAGGAGTGGAAGGCGATGGAAGGCTCCGGAGCCGTGGAAGTAATTCCGCCCAAGAAGGCGAGCGTGGTGCGAGAGCAGCAGCCCGAGAGGATCATAACCTCGCGTATGGTCAGGAGGTGGAAGCCGGTGAAGGGTACCTTTGCGCAGCCGGAAGCAAAGTCTCGGTGGTGCGTGCATGGGCGCCGAGATCCAGATTCTGGGGCACTGGCTGTCTACGCACCGACGCCACAGACCACCTCCATCATGATGTTCCTTCAGATCATGATCAACCTCGGAATGCTGGGTGATATTGCAGACGTGAAAAATGCATTCTGTCAGTCTGACCCCATGTGCCGGACACAAGGTGAAATATATGTTGAGCCTTGCGAGGGCATCAACGTGGAGCCAGGCTCGCTCATTCGGCTTAAGGTCAACGTCTACGGTCTGGACGACGCCCCTATGGCATGGCGACGGACAGTCGTGGGTTTTCTTGAGCAACATGGCTTCGTGAGAAGCCTGCTTGAGCCGTGCTGGTGGATCAAGTATGGCGAGAACGGAGATATCCTGGACATGCTGTTGCTTGAGGTTGACGATTTCATGATCGCCAGCGCCTCTCCGGAGGCCAGGTCATGGATCAGACGGACTCTGGAGTCCCACTTCAAGTTCGGAAAATACCGTGACTGTCACGCCGGCCCTGTAGACTTCGCCGGCCGGCGGCTGTCTTTCGGACCCCAGAAGATAATCGTGGACCAGGAAAAGTACATCTTAGAGGAAGTGAGGCCCTTGTCGGTAGCCAAAGGTCGGATGTCGAAGAAGGATGAACCCCTCGAACCAGAAGAGTTCAAGATGCTCCGCTCCCTCGTCTACAAATTTAATTGGGTGGGTCGCGAGACACGTCCCGAGGCAGCCGGTATCGCTAGTATCTTAGCCAGCAGGTTGAAATCCCCGACCATTTACGACTTCCAGTGTGCTAACAAGTTGGTTCGTCACTTGCGTGCGTCAGCGTCTCGTGGTCTGACGATCTGGAAGCTGAATCCCGAACAGATGGCCTTCGTATCGTTCTCCGATGCAGGAGGCGTGGGCGCCAACATCAACCAGGACGATGACCGGGGGCTTCGGAAGATCCGACACAAGGCGCGTGGATGGTCTTGACCACCGACCGTTCTGTTCTGGATAACCACGCTGTCAAGGCCTCCATCATCGGATAGCGCAGCAGCAAGCTGCGGAGGAAAGTGCCCTCGACCCTCGCGGGCGAGACCCAGGCTCTGTCTGCCGCGGTTGCCGAAGTAGAATTCCTTCAGGTGCTTTGCAGAGACGTGGTTTTCGGAAACGTCGACGTTCCAGAGTGCAGGCGGGCCGCCGGTCCGTTCACCACCGTGCTGCGCCGGGACTGTCAGCTAGGCTCACGTGAAGACCAAATCCATGTGGTCGATGCCAAATCAGTATACGACACCATGCAAAAAGAAGGCAACGCCAGTGCAAAGGATAGAAGAACAGCTTTGGATATGGCTATTATTTGTGAAGCACTGGAGAGGGCAAAAGGCAAGGTAAGATGGGTGCCCCACGGCCGTATGCCAGTGGACGCCCTTGCCAAGGACGACATAACCAAGAGTAATGCCGCCCTCTCGGAGCTCATGACCCATGGTAGGTTGATCTTAGTCGATGAGTGTTCGGAGCTGGAGCGGAGGAAGTCCACCCCTGGCCTCAAGGACCGTTCGCAGGCTGCATCCAGGCGAGAGTTAGGTAACGACAACATGATCTCCTGGAGTGAGTTCCTGGCCCTGGACCCGGACTCCGGTGGTGGTGGTGGTGTGGTGGTCGGTCCTTCCTCCTCTCCCCTCTCCTCCTCCTGCACCTCCGGGCCGGCCGGCGCTTCTCAATCCTCTCAGTCTTTTCAGTAGTTTCTGCCTTGCCTCAGAGCGAGATCGGGGGGGTTTCCCGTATCGCTGAACTGTGCGATTTTGTGTTCTTGTCCCAGGGAAGGGTCTCTGACAACCAGAGATGCTGAACCTAGGAGAAAGTTTGACGAGTGTGATAGATGGGCACATTCTTTAAATAGAGGTTCAGCACTTAGAGGGCGAGTCTAGTTCTGACCGTGATTCGCCCTGTGGCTCAAGGGATAAACATTTGCCTTCTCCTCCTGCTGCCACACACAGAATTGATTTACCCCAAAATAGACTGGCTCGACGAATTGCGTAGAATATCCCGTAGATGTGCGGGAAAGTATATATTCTCGTGAATTCGACAAGCATATCAATCTTGGGGTGAATCAATTTTGTAGTCGATCCTCTATTCGAACGCCGTCCCCACCCTGGCCGTCCCAGACCAGCCGAAGGAAGCGGCGGAACACATCGGCGCGATACCCAACGGTACCGAGGTCAGGATCCCGCGGCGCCTTGTGGCGGCCTTCCGCCGTGCGGGGACCCCCCCAAGCAGAATCAGGCCCGGCTCCGCGCTTTCGCGCCTCATGATGATGATGTTGATGAAGAAGATGATGATGCTGATGATGATGATGATGTTTATGATGATGATGATGACGATGATGATGATGGTGATGGTGATTGCGATGACGATGATTGCGATGATGACGATGCCAATGACGACAACGATGATGATGGTGATGATGATTCTGATGATCATGATGATGATGAACCTGCTAAGAATGCTGATGATGCTAATGATGATCCTGTTGTTGACGATGATGATGATGCGGATGCTGATGCTGCGGATGCTGCTGATGATGATGATGATGATGATGACTGTGATGATGATGATGATGATGATGATGATGCTGATGCTGACGCTGATGCTGCTGATGATGATGTTGATGCTGATTCTGATGACGATGATGCTGATGCTGATGATGATGGTCATGATGGTGAACCTGATGATGCTGTTGCTGATGATGATGATGGCTGATGATGATGGCTGATGATGATGCTGCTGATGATGATTCTGGTGATGCTGATGCTGCTGATGATGATGGCGACGACGATGAGGATGACTGATGATCATGTGCTGATGGTGATGCTGCTGATGATCATGATGAAGAGGAAGATGCTGCTGCCGCTGATGATGAGGATGATGGTGATGATGGTAATGATGATACTGATGATGATGATGACGATGATGCTGATGATGATGATGATGCTGATGATGATGATGATGACCATGAAGATGATGATGATGATGACGACGATGATGATGATGATGATGATGGTGATGGTGATTGCGATGACGATTATTGCGATGATGACGATGCCAATGACGACAACGATGATGATGGTGATGATGATTCTGATGATCATGATGATGATGAACCTGCTCAGAATGCTGATGATGCTAATGATGATCCTGTTGTTAACGATGATGATGATGCGGATGCTGATGCTGCGGATGCTGCTGATGATGATGATGGTGGTGATGATGATGATGATGATGATGATGACTGTGATGATGATGATGATGATGATGATGATGATGATGATGATGCTGATGCTGACGCTGATGCTGCTGATGATGATGTTGATGCTGATTCTGATGACGATGATGCTGATGCTGATGATGATGGTCATGATGGTGAACCTGATGATGCTGTTGCTGATGATGATGATGGCTGATGATGATGATGGTTGATGATGATGCTGCTGATGATGATTCTGGTGATGCTGATGCTGCTGATGATGATGGCGACGACGATGAGGATGACTGATGATAATGTGCTGATGGTGATGCTGCTGATGATCATGATGAAGAAGAAGATGCTGCTGCCGCTGATGATGAGGATGATGGTGATGATGGTAATGATGATACTGATGATGATGATGATGATGATGATGATGATGATGATGACGATGATGCTGATGATGAGGATGATGATGATGATGATGCTGATGATGATGATCACCATGAAGATGATGATGTTGATGATGATGATGATGATGATGATGATGATGATGATGATGATGATGATGATGATGATGATGATGATGATGATGATGATGATGATGCTGAGACTTGTCCTCAGAACGTGCAGGAGATGAATACACAGAGTCCGATACGTTTCGCTCAAGCATTTTTCGCCTCAGGGAGCACCTGACACGTATGCGCCCTCCCGCTCTCCGGCTGCCATCGTGGTCGCTGGTCTGCATCTGGTGTGCTCTGGACGCGTGGCAGCCAGGCCTGCTGCGCGCGGGCGGCGGAGGCGGCCCGCCCGACGACTGGGACAGTCGGGCGGCCCTTGCTGCCCAGCGGGCTGCCGAGCGTGCGGCCCAGCTCGCCGCGGCGCGCGCGGCCAACCTCAGCCGGTGCCACGCCGCGCTGGACGAGGTGCAGGGCGTGCTGACCAACTTGTCCGCGGAGCTGGCCGAGCTCCGCGCCCTGCGGGCAGCGCCGCCCGAGCTGCCCGAGGAGCCCGACACGCTCCTGTGGCACGCGCTCGGGGTGGTGCTGACCGCGGCGTTGACGCAGTGTGGCACGTGCCTCGCCGCCTTGCGTCGCCGCGATGGCCCTCCTGCCCGCGAACCTGAGCCTCTTCCTGAGCGACGGGACCGCCGCCGAGGCGGCGGAGTTTTTCAATGAGCTGGTGCCAGGGCGGGTCGTCAGCTTCTACTATGAGGACGACCCGAGCATATGGCACGAACGGTTGCTGCTGTGGCCGTACCCTGGCGCCTTCCCCAACACCTGCTGGAGCTGCCTCACCCCTGACGGCGACGTGTACCCCGAGGAGATGGCGGCAGGGCCCGATGGCGACGGGTCGAGCCGCGTCTCCCTCACGATCGGGGCGACTCCCGCTGCTGTTCGCCCCCCGGGGCGAGTCTACAGATTTCGTGAATATCCTGCCGAGGAAGACATGATCGACCTCTTTTGGGACGCTCGCCTGGCCGCTCGCAGCGCCGGCTTGCGCGAGCCCGAGCCGACCGCCTTCATGCGCGACGGCGGCCGGCCCACCAGGAGCATGACGGTCAGCTTCAGCGACGTGCCGGGCTTCCTGCGCCGCACGCGGGGCAAGGGCCCGTCCGCGGCCGTCCCGCGCGTCCCACCTCCTGGCTCGCCTGTGGCCCCGCCCCCGCTGGACGCCGTGGGCGCTGAGCCAGGGGCGTTCGCCGACGGCGAGGTCGGGGGCACTCCGACCCCGAGGGGCGGCCCTGGCGCGGTGGTGCTCACTGACGAGCGGGCCGCGCCGCCTGGGTCTGCATGGTTTGTGGTGAAGACGATTCCGAACGAGTGCTAGCAGCTCGACGAGGTCGTCCCGAAGGCGGGTGACGTGGTCTGGGGGGAGAGCGGGCTCTACAGCACGACGGGCGGCTTCGTCGTCCCGATCGAGCTCCACCCTGTCCCGCTGCCTGCCGAGGTGTCGGACAAGCTAGCTGACGACGACGCCCGCCTCCTCGGCCCTCTCCAGCGCACGCGGGAGGGCCGTAGGCACCGCGACTTTCGTGAGGCAGTGTCGTCCATGAGGCAGGAGCAACATGACGACTTCCCGCTCGTCGGCGAGCGCAGCTTCAAGTGGCTGTGCGACTACATCGTCGACCACGGAGGCACACCCGACGGCCGCCACACCAAGTGGATGATGGAGAGCGGCTGCACCAAGGACTCGGCGGCCGCGCACATCCACGATCTGCTCGGCTTCGCCATCGAGATGGCCGTCACCTACGACCAGGTCGACGGCTCCAATCTTGCCAGCATGGAGGTGGTCTCACGGGCCTATCAGCTGATCGAGGAGACCATGGGGAGCATGAAGATCGAGGGCGTCGAGCACTACATCGGCCGCCAGAAGCAGAGCGCCCGCCGTGGCGTCGCGATGGCGCCGGGCGTCGCTAAGTACGCCACCGACCAGCTCGCCAAGGGGGCGGATATCCAGAAGCAGAGGCGCAAGGCGCGCGAGGAGAAGTCTGCCCAGTCGGGCAAGAAGGACAAGGGGTGACCTGGGGTCAGCGGTCGGGAGGTGGCTCGACCCGATCGCCGCATTTTGAGAGCCAGTTTTGTGGGCCTGCTGATGTCCAACCTCCTGCCGATGGCATGCTGCCCTTTGCTGTGCCTGCGTCGCCGATTTCTTCATCTCCCCCGCCTGGACTACCCCGTTCGGTTCGGGCTCGCCTTTCCCGCGCCCAGTTGATCGAGGAGCGTGCTCGGGACACCGTGGAGTGCCTCAACCTGCTTGGGGGCTACGCCACACCGCGGGTCGCGCCAGAGCGCCTCTCACATCTGGATGTTTTGTTGCATCGACGTGTTCGAGGGCTGTATCGTGATATGGCTGCCCCTCCGAGCACGTCGGCCCAGGAAGCCTGCTCAGAGCTTTTGGGCCGCCCGTGTCTGCACTGCGACACGTCTAACGACTTGCCGCTGAGGCCCTACGCTCCGCACCTCGTGAGCTGGCCCGAGCTGGGAAACGAGCCTCAGTGGCTCGCGGATCGGCTGGGGACAAGCGAGCGATGCTCTCTTTTGGACCTCGACCATGCTTGGCTGCTGCCGCCACCGAGCTTCGACGAGGCCGTGGAGACAGAGGGGGGGCCCACGTTGTACATGGACCCTGTGCTGGAGCGGAACAGGCCGCTCTACCTTGAATTCATCCAGTCGGGCATCTCGCGGGGCGTCTTCGTCTTAGGGGAAGAGAGGACCGAGGACGTCTCCGCATTCTTCGTGGCTAAGAAGGACGAGCGGATCAGGACGGTGCTGGACTGCAGGCGTAGCAACCAGCGGTTTCAGCCTCCTCCGTCGGTCAGCCTGTTCTCCGCCGCGGGGTTCGCGGACCTCGAGGTGCCGAAGGACACGCCCCTCTACTACGCGGGGGTGGATGTCCAGAACGCGTTCTACCAGCACAAGCTGCCGGCCTACCTGCGGTCGTACTTCTGCTTGCCGAAGGTCACCGCGGGCGAGCTTGGCATCAGCAGGCTTGACGGGCGGCGTGTCCCGCCCTGGGCCTGCCTTTACCCACAACTTGCCGTTGTTCCCATGGGGTGGAGCTGGGCACTCTTCTTCGTTCAGAAGGCTCACGGGCGGACGCTGGGCCAGCGCGACGCCCTGAGGCCCGATCGGCGGGCGGTCGACTTCGTGCCGGTCCCCAGCCCGCTCGAGGAGCCCATCCACTCGCTGTGCGTCGACAACGTGCTCGTGGTCGGCGCCGACCGCGAGGCCGTGACCAGGGTCAGGCGTGAGGCCTCCCAGGCTCTGGAGGGCTCGGTCCCGGCCGTCCACGACGAGACCGACGCCGCCGAGAGCATGGCCATGCTCGGCGGGCAGCTGCATGGATCGCCTGCCCGCGCCACCTTGGCGCCACGGAGGTTCTGGAAGCTGTGCGTGGGGCTCGGCTACTTGGTTCAGCGGCGCCCTCGCGTCACCAGCCGCGACGTCGAGCACGTCATCGGCCACTGCACGTTCGCCGCGCTGTGTCGGCGTGAGGGCTTGAGCTGCTTCAGCGCCGTCTACTCGTTCGTCCAGCAGAGTTGCCAGCGCGCCAGGCCCCTCTGGGCGTCGGCGCGGCGCGAGTTCAGGATCTTCCGCGGCTTGCTGGTCGCGCTCGTCTCGGACCTCGACGCCGAGTGGTCCACCAAGGTCGTCATGGCTGACGCCTGCGAGACGGGCCACGCCTCTGTCGAGGGCGAGTGGGGCCTCTCCGAGGTGCAGAGTGCCGGTCGCTGGCACGAGCGGTGGCGGTTCCGCCACGCGCGTGAGGCGGACGGGGGTTGGCGGCCGCGCGACCGCGCGCACGTGCGGCCGAGGCCGCCGAGCTCGATGCACACCCGTCTGTTCTGTTGCGCCAGGGTCTCGCCAACGAACGATTCCCTGAAGTGTCGACGCACGCCATCCGCCGCATCAGCTGGTCGACCATGCACTACTCGCCACTCTTCGGCAAGGGGTCCATGCATCGTAAGGAGGCAAGGGGTGACTTACATGCCGTGAAGCTGATCCTGTCGGACGCGGACTCCTGGGGGAAGAGGCGCGTCGTCTTGGGGGGCAATCTAGCACTCACACTTGCGCTATCTAAAGGACGTTGTCGTGATATATTTCTGCTCAATATCTTGCGGCGAGGCGCCGCCTTGACTCTCGCCTCGGGAGCCCGCATGCATCGACGATGGGTGCCCAGCGAGTTCAATGCGGCCGACGGTGGCAGCCGCTCCCGCGAGGGTGCTGCAGGGCGCGCTGCATCTGGGGCCAGCTGGCGCGCTGCCGCGGCGCGCGGGCGTCAGCTTCGGCACCGCCGCAGCTCGGCGCGGGGCCCCGGGGGCGACAGTCGGCTCGGCAGCGGCTGGCCCGCGTCCCCAGCGGGCCCGCCAGGACTCGAGCGCAGCCCCGCCGCTGGCAGCCGCGCGCCCGCTGCGGCCCCGCGGCCTCGCGGCGCCGCCGTCGGCCAGGCGGCTGAAGCGCAGCGCGGCTGGGAGTGGCCCGACAGCGCAGGCCCCTCCGCGGCCCTCGGCGGCTCCGACGCCGGCGCGCCGCAGCTCGGGCCCCCTGGGCTCGCCCGCCTTGCGCCGCCGCGAGGCTCTGACGCGACGTCCGTCGGTGGTGCTGGCGGCCCCGCGCAGCATCCCCCTGCGGGAGCTGCCGCGCTCTGTGCAGCGCCGCCTGGACGCTGGGGAGCAGGCGCGGGGCACCACCCGCCAGCTCTCCATCACCGAGGCTGCCGCGGTGGGACGGCGGAGCCGACTGCAGTACACGCGGCTGCTCGAGCTGTTCCTCAGGCGCAGCCGCCTGACGTCTCTGGCTGCGCCTGCTGCCGACACGGACGCCGCGGTGGTGAGGTTCTTCGACGAGCTGTGCCTCGAGGGGAAGGTCGCGTCGACGGGCGAGAAGCTCCTCGCCGCCATCTTCATGCACGTGCCCGACTACCAGAGCAAGGGGAAGCTGGCCCTGCCGCGCGCCTACCGCGCGCTGCGAGGCTGGCGCCTGCTGCGGCCATCGCGGACGCGGCGCCCGCTGCCCTGGGCGGCTTGCATGGGCGTGGCGCGCCAGATCTGGAGGATCAGCGGCCGCCCCGCCCTCGCAGTGTTCTGGCTCCTGATGGTGGACACGTACCTGAGGCCTGGCGAGGCGTTCCGCCTGACCTGCGGCCAGGTGATCCCTCCGCAGGCGCACGTGCCCAAGGTGACGATCCACATCAACCCCGACTACATGAAGAGGCCGAGCAAGACTGGCGAGATGGACGAGACCGTGGACGTGGCACGTCCGTGGCTGGGCAGCCTTCTGGTTCGGCTAGCCCAGGGGCCGCCCAGCGCCCCCCTGTGGACGTTCGCCATGGCGGAGGCCAAGGACGTGTTCGAGCGCGCGACTCGCGCGCTGCACCTGGACAAGCTGCTGCCCGTGCTCTACGCAGCCCGACGCAGCGGCGCGTCCATCGACCGCTTCACGGGGAGGATCTCGTTGCAGGAGGTCCAGCGGCGCGGCCGCTGGCGCCAGCCGAGCTCGGTCAGGCGCTACGAGAAGCGCGGGCTCATCCAGGCGGTGTGGAGCGAGATGGAGCCCTCAGCCAAGGCATGCTGCCTCCAGGCCGAGGCCGAGCTGCCCTCGCTGCTCGGCGCCGCCTCGCTATCCGCCAACGCTTGAGCGACCCCCGCGCCAGGAGACACGAGTATTTCTATATAGAAATCTTCTCGGGCTCAGAACATTTCTCGAAATCGCTGCGCCGTCGTGGTTTCAGAGTGTACTCATTTGATGTGCTGCAAGGGCCCCAAGGTAACCTCCTGAGGCCCGCTGTCTTTAGGCGCATCTTGCGAATGATCAAGTCCGACAAACGTCTCGGTGTGCTAGCTGGTGTGCCATGTAAGTCGTTCTCTATTGCCCGAGGAGGCCATAATGCAATCAGATCGTCGCGAGCTCCCTCTGGCCTCCCCTCGCTCCCGCCTCATCTGCAATGCCTGGTAGACGAGGGCAACAAACTGTTTCAGGTGTCCTGTAAGATCTTTAAGTGCTGTAAACAGATGCGGGTTCCTTTTTTGTTGGAGAATCCTCAGTCATCCTACATGTGGAACATGGATGCTGCCGTTCAGATTTTTCGCTGGCCCGGGGTCCGCGACATTATAACTAACTAGTGCGGTTGGGGCACGCCGTGGTGTAAACCCACTAGGCTGAGATGCTTCCTGCTGCCGAGAGCCGACGACTTGTGTAAGCGTTGTAAAGCTGTCCGTGGTATCTGCTCGTTCTCTGGAAAGAAACGCCAGATTCTCCAGGGCCGAGACGGCCTGGGCATTCACTGGACCGCTCGCGCCGCAGCTTACCCTCACGTGCTTGCGAATCGAATGGCCGATGTGTTTCAAGATGCTGCATTCGATCGTGTCTTTCGGCAAACCATCCGCCTGCACCCCTTCCGCGTGCATGACCCCGAGCCGCACTGACGGCAGTGAACCGATAGCGACTTTTGGTGCCTCGAATGTCGGCACGGATCTGTAATGTGCGTTGTTGTGTGTGTCGCGCCGGCGTGCTCCCAGAGTTGTGCTGTCTGCAAGGTCACCACATGCGGATGACATATATGAGAGTTCTGTGTAAAAGGACGGGTGGGGAATCTCCGACTTGTCCTCAGAACGTGCAGGAGATGAATACACAGAGTCCGATACGTTTCGCTCAAGCCTCCCTCCCTGTCTGAACTGGTGCACGACCTACCCGCCCTAGCTTTTGGCGGGCCGCAAGCAATTGTCTTGGCTGCACGGATCTGTAATGTGCGTTGTTGTGTGTGTCACGCCGGCGTGCTCCCAGAGTTGTGCTGTCTGCAAGGTCACCACATGCGGATGACATATATGAGAGTTCTGTGTAAAAGGACGGGTGGGGAATCTCCTGATGTTGACGATGATGATGGGGGGGGGGGGAGGAGCAGGAGCAGGAGGAGGTGGAGGTAGAGGTGGAGGTGGAGGAGGAGGACGATGCGGGTGAGGATGATGATAATGATGATGCTGATGATGATGTTGATGATGCTGCTGATGATGATGCTGATGCTGATGCTGTTGATGATGCTGATGACGATGAGGATGATGCTGATGCTGATTCTAATGGCGATGATGATGGGGATGAGGATGAGGATGATGATGAGGATGATGATGATGATGCTGATGTTGATGCTGAAGCTGACGATTATGATGACGATGCTGATGATGGCGATGATGATGATGATGATGATGATGATGATGATGATGATGATGATGATGATGATGATGATGATGATGATGATGATGATGTTGAGGATGATGATGATGCTGCTGATGATGATGATGATGATGGTGATGGTGATGGTGATGGTGATGGTGATGGTGATGGTGATGATGGTGATGATGCTGATGATGATGGTGGTGGTGGTGGTGATGATGTTAATGATCATGAGGACGAGGATGAGGATGCGGAGGATGAGGAGGAAGAGGAGAGGAAGCATAGGAGGTGGATAATGATGAGGAGGAATGGGGGGGAAGAGTGGGAGGTGGTGGAGGAGGATGAGGAGGATGAGGAGGAGGTGTTGGAGGAGCAGGAGAAGGAGGAGAAGGAGGAGAAGGAGGAGGCGGGTGAGGGGGAGGATCGGGAGGAGGAAGGGGGGATGAGGAGGAGAAGGAGGAGGATGAGAAATGATGATGATGATGATGATGATGATGATGATGATGATGATGATGATGATGATGATGATGATGATGATGATGATGATGATGATGATGATGATGATGATGATGATGATGATGATGATGATGATGATGATGATGATGATGATGATGATGATGATGATGATGATGATGATGGTGGTGGTGGTGATGATGATGATGATGATGGTGATGATGATGATGATGATGATGAATGATGAGGATGAGGATGAGGATGACGATGGATGAGGATGATGATGATGCTGATGATGATGAGGGAGGAGGAGGGGAGGCGGAGGAGGAGGAGGGGAAGGAGGAGGACGATGAGGAGGGTGAGGAGGAGGAGGAGGAACAGGAGGAGGAGGAGGAGGAGGAGAAGGAGGAGGTGTACACGGTCATCGTGCTGCCAGCTCGAGGGAGCGGCCCGAGAACTGGAGAGCCGCTCCTGAGCCCTAAGTGGTCCTTGTTTTGATGCCTTGGCTGCATTTGGTGCCCTCCCACGCCTCGAGTAGGGGATCGACCACATAATCGATTCACCCCAAAATAGACTGGCTCGACGAATTGACGAAACATGGGTATAATATTCTGTAGGAACAGGAGGAGGAGGAGGAGGAGGAGGAGGAAAGGGAGAAGGAGGAGGAGGTGGGGGAGGAGGAGGCGGCAACGGAGGAGGAGGCGGAGGAGGAGGAATAGGAAGAGGAGGAGGAGGAGGACGAGGGGGAGGAGGAGAATATTGTAGTGGTGTCTGTCTGTCTGTCGGTGTGTGTGTGTGTGATTGTGTGTGTGTGTGTGCGCGCGCGGGTGTGTGTGTGTGTGTGTGTCCGTGTATGTCTGTGTGTGTGTGTCTGTGTGTGTGTGTGTTTGTGTGTTGTGTGAGTGTGTGCTTGTGTGGGGGGAGGGGGGGAAGGCGGAGGAGGGGGAGCAAGAGGAGGAGGAGGACGAAGGAGGAGGAGGAAGATGATGATGATGGTGATGATGATGCTCATTATGATGATAATGCGGCTGATGATGATACTGATGCGGATGATGATTACAATGGTTACGATGATGATGGTGATGATGACAAAGCTGCTGATGAGGAGTTGGTGAATGAGGACCAGCGTCAACCCACGACGCATCGACGATGTTGACGTACACCATCCCTCCATGTTCCCCCTTCACATGTCCCTGCAATAACCATCCCCAATGCTGGAAGTTGCGCATTCGAAAAGAGCAGTCCCATAATCCTGAATCGCGCCAATGCATCATTTCTGGGACTTCAACGCCGCGGACCATCGTGACTTTTGCGTCATGACAGTCCCCAGCCGTGCCAGAAACAATTCCTCGGACTTCAACATTGCGAATCAACATGGCACTCTCGTCGTGACAGTCCTACGTCGTGCCATGACCCCCTTCCTGGGACTTGCATGTTTCTCAGGGTCGTGAACTGTCAAGACGAAAGTGCACGGCAGCAGGGCGAGAGCCACAGTTTGCCCCCCCCCCGCCCTCCATCCTTGGAGCTGCAAGCTTTTAAATCAGATGTGCGCGGGGCTAAGGCGAGAACCACATTTTGAAATGGAGCCGCCCTCCATCTTTCAAGCCGCTGTAAGTTTCTAAGACGAGTGTGCACGGCGCTGAGGCGAGAGCTACATTTTGAACACCGCTTTGTCCTCCATCCTTAGCGCAGTTGCTGCACACTTTTTAGACCAATGTGCGCGGCGCCATGGCGAGAGCCGCAGTTTGAAAACCACCCGCCCTCCATCCGTGAAGTTGTTGCAATTTTCGAACTTCAGGATCATACGTGGTGGGGAAGTCTCTGGCGAAACGCCGGGCCCGCCCTACCGGCGCGTCTGGGGGTGCGGCAGGGGCGCGTCTGGGGCTGACAGATGGCGGAGGAGGAGGAGGAAGATAAGTACGAAAGAGCGGTACCATTTTTGGCCCAAGAAATCCATGTCGCGGAACTTCGAACCGAGCTTGCCGCCGCTGTACGACAACCATCGAGGGGGCGCCCTGTGCATTTCGGTCTTTACACTCCTGATTGGGGACGGTTAAAATGGCCCACTGCCAGGCAGGTTTTGAGGGAGGATTTGGTGTCGTGTGTCCACACTGCTCGTGCAAGAATAACCCCGTCCATACAAGTTCTTCTACCACCGAGAGGGCCCGTTGCCGCAGCTTGTTCCTAATGTACCTCTTCCTCCGCCTATCTGGACTGATGAGCCTCGTATTCGGGTTGCTGGTGGTCGGAAGACTGGGAGTGGCAAGAAAGGCACTGGTGCCATGGGGTCCCAAAAGAGGTGGCAAAAGTGGCAGCTGGCAAGGACAAGCGAAGGGTGGAGGAGGCCCTGCGCAACCTCAACCGTCCAAGTCAAGGTCTTCGCCTTAATCCGCCCATAGCGTGTTGACCCCTTTTTTCTCGAATGGTAAGTTTGGAGGTGTACTCCCAACGGCCTCTTGCGATGCCATATCCACATAGGCGTGCTTCCGTACCTCCGTCGCATCGGCTTCTCGTGCAGAGCAGGAGCAAAAAAGGTGTGAGAGGAAGTTGTCTAGGTTTCAGAGTGAGCGTGCTGGCACTGTCCAGAATTCGGAGGAGCCTGCTGCGCAGAATGGGGGACTCGAGAATGCGATCGCTGTGGGGAAGGACAAGCTGGAAGAGTCGAGGACAGGTGCCGCCTCTCTTGCCCCAGCGCCCCCTGTCGCTGATCCCCCGTCCATGTCTCAGGTTGTAGAGCGTCTTTGTCAGCTTCAAGGGGCACTGGCAGGAGTCCAGGGTGAAGAAGCTCGAGCCTCTCCCCAATCCAGGTATCAAAAGCTTCTTGAGGGACTCGATGCGGCTGTCCCGCCCGCGGAGTCCCGTCCCGCACCGGGTGGGGAGGCCGCCCCCGCATCAGGCCCAGGCATGGAGATCGACTGCACATGGTTCATTTCTAATTCTTCGAGAGTTCTTTGATTTTTTTGGGCCAAGATCCTTCTATTTCTAATTGTTTTATCCTGGGCCTCTTCCTGGCCG